AAAGAAAGAAGAGGAAGAAAGAATCCTCCCTTAGAGCCTCCAGAGGAGGTGTGGCCTTGCCGACACCTGACTTCTGGATCCAGGAACTGTGAGAAAATAAGTTTCTCTTGTTGAAAAGTCACCAAGTCCGTGGTGACTTGTGGCAGCCACATGTAACTAATACAAAGGGAATGTTTGCAGAGTGAATCCCAAAAGACAAGATGCTAGGTTCCCTAGCATCTCAGAGCCCCAGGCTACACCCTCTACTTACCACCTTCTCTGGACAGTTGACCCTTGGTGTCCGAATCTGGACCTCAGGGGCCGGTGGGGGCACCTGCCAGGACTTAGGCCCGGCTCCTGAAGTGCTGGGACTCCCATCATCAACACTGGCAGCCTCACCCTCGCCCTCACTGCGGCTGCCCACACCGGCCTGGGCCGCCACTGCCCGGTCCTCAGCCCCTTCGGGATTGGAGCGAGTGCGGGGCCGCGGCTCTGCCGAGTGCTCCTCTTCTTCCTCCTCCTCTTCAGTGGGGCTACTGGGCTCTGCCACTTCCATGGCTCCTGTGTGGCTGGATGGGACACGGACAGGGGAAGCCAGAACACTCCCCTTGGGAGTTTTAAAAACATTTAGTTACGGCTGGGCTGGGTGGCTCATGCCTGTAATCCCTGCACTTTGGGAAGCCAAGGTGGGCGTATCACCTGAGGTCGGGAGTTCGAGACCAGCCTGGTCAACATGGAGAAACCCCATCTCTACTGAAAATACAAAATTAGCTGGACGTGGTGGTGAATGCGTATAATCCCAGCTACTCAGGAGGCTGAGGCAGGAGAATCGTTTGAACCCGGGAGGCGGAGGTTGCAGTGAGCTAAGATCGTGCCATTGCACTCCAGCCCGGGCAACAAGAGCGAAACTCCGTCTCAAAAAAATTTTTTTTTGGTTACTAAGAAGGAAGAGGGGCTATGAGATGCTTACTGATGATGAGTCACTCCTCTTAGGGCATCAGTTTCCTTAGTTGTAGAATGGGTGCCTTTTACATCCATCAGCCGAGCAGCCTCTCCCACAAAAGATAACAGTCCCCATCTTAATTTAACGTAGTGGTAGCCCCATGCCCCTACTTGGCCAATTGCTAATCCCCGCTCTCTGGCCACTGAAAATGGCTCAGAGATGGGCACATGACCCAAACCAGGCCATTGAGTGGCAGCTCTGGAACTTCCAGCAGTGCCATCAAGGAAAAGAGACTCTCGTTAGAGTTGCAGAGCTGGGAGAATAAACTTGGGAGCTGTGAGGGGCCTCTTTCTGCCTCTAAGGTAAAAAGCGAAATGGTCCCCACCTAGAAAACTGCAGATCGAATTCTGACCACCTGGACCCAGCTCCTATTTGACCCAATCTATAACTACTAACTTCCCTTTCTTGCTTAAGCCAGATTAAGTAGGGTTTTCTGTTACCTAAAACTGAAAATGTCTTGGTGAATAAAGGAATAATGACCTCTGGGACACCCTCGTGCCTAGCGGGTGTCTGCATGAGGGAGAAGCAAAATATTAGTGTTGCGGTTCCCGTTGGAGAGGAGGACGCTAATTAAGCAGCTTGTCTATCTGGGTAATAGGCACGGGCTTCTCAAAATGGTCTCTGAGAGCCTTGCAGCCCCCACACCTCTAAGGAAAACAAAGCTTTAGCGGCAGCAAGAAGGATGGAGGCTAGACTACAGGAGAAACCAGAAATAAAGGCGGAAGCCCCAGGGAAGGCGAGGAGCTGGATCTCTTGGGGAAAAGGGAGCTAGGTCCCTAGGAACCGGCCCCGCACGCTTTCTCCACCCAACTCGGGCTCACCGTAGCCTGAACCTCCCTCCAAATCAGCCGCCGACTCTGTAGGAAGCCGCCATCTTTTCAGCCGGAAGTTACGCGTCGCAGCCCCGACGCCTCCTGGGAAATGTAGTTCAGCGGGCCGCAGAGCAAGCGGAGAGAGAAACTGGTTTAGGCTAGGAAGGACTTGGAAGCTGATAGGCGGAAACTGCGCTACGAGTGGGGTTTGGAGTGCGACAGACTAGCAGGACCTGCGTGGAGCGGGACCTGGAATGTGACTGGCTACACTGGAGCAAAGTATGAAATATGATTGGATAAAAAAAGATAGTGAATTTTTGTTTTTGGCCGAATCAGGCTACAATGGTCAGTGCTTCTACCGTGACAGGCTGAAACGTGGAATAGGGGTGGAGGTTGTGATAGGCTCAGAGGATGGAAAAGGCCGATTTAGGGAGAGAGGAGGAGCTAATTGGTGATTGGTGGAGCTGGCCTGAGCTTCCGTGTGGGGCAGGTATTTCCACGTGGGCGTGGCCTGAGCTTTCAGGGTCCTTCCCAATTAGTTAATTCCTGCTCCTTATTTTACATACATTTGCATGATGAAAAATACTGACTCTGGTCTTATTGGGTCATTGTAGGTGGAGGGGAACTAAGTCGGTCCTGTTTCAAGCCTGCCTCCTTTTTCATGCCTTTTTTCTTATTTTTAGAGACAGGGATCGCTCTGTAGCCCAAACTAGAGTGCAGTCACGCGATGATGGCTAGTCGTTACAGCCTGGAATTCCTGGACTCAAGCGATCTCTCACATAGCTGGGACTACAGGCGATAACGATAACCACCACATCAGGCTAAACCAGCCTTGTTTCTTTCCTTCTTTTTTTATTTTTTCGAGACGGAGTCTCACTTTGTCACCAGGCTGGACTGCAGTGGCACGATCTCGGCTCATTGCAACCTCCACCTCCTGGATTCAAGCGATACTTCTGCCTCAGCCTCCCCAGCAGCTGGGACTACAGGCGCGCATCACCATGCCCAGCTAATTTTTGTATTTTTAATAGAGACGGATTTCACCATCTTGGCAGGATGGTCTCGATTTCTTGACCTCGTGATGCACCCCCCTCGGCCTCCCAAAGTGCTGGGGTTACAGGGGTGAGCCACCGCGCCCGGACTCCTTTTTATTTTTTTTCAGTCTGAGTCTCGCTCTGTCGCCCAGGCTACTGGTGTCTTCTTTCTTAATGCACACTTCCCCCCTTATCCCCAGAAGTATTTATTTATTTTTATTTTTTGAGACAGAGTCTTGCTCTGTCGCCCAGGCTGGAGTGCAGTGGCTCAATCTCGGCTCAATGCAACCTGTGCCCTCCGGGGTTCAACTGCCTCAGCCTCCCAAGTAGCTGGGAATACAGGCATACGCCACCATGCCTGGATAAATTTTTTTTGTTTTGTATTTTTAGTAGAGAGGGTTTTTGTTTTTTTCTGAGAGTGTCGCTCTGTTGCCCAGTCTGGAGTGCAATGGCATGATCTCAGCTCACTGCAACCTCCACCTCCCGGTTTAAAGCAATACTCCTGTCTCAGCCTCCTGACTAGCTGGGATTACAGGCACGTGCTACCTCGCCCAGCTAAATTTTGTGTTTTTAGTAGAGACGAGGTTTCACCATGTCAGTCAGGGTGCTCTCAAACTCCTGACCTCGTGAACCGCCCATCTCGGCCTCCCAAAGTGCTGGGATTACAGGCAAGCCACTGTGCCCAGCTAGAGATGGGTTCTTGCCATGTTGTTAGGCTGGTCTTGAAATTCTGACCTTGGGTGATTCATGTGCCTTAGCCTCTCAAAGTATTGGATTACAGGCATGAGCCACTGCACAAGGCCAGCCCCAGAAGTATTATTAATTTATTTATTTATAGACAGAATCTCACTCTGTCGCCCAGGCTGGAGTGCAGTGGCACGATCTTGGCTCACTGCAACCTCCACCTCCCAGGTTCAAGCGATTCTTCTGCCTCAGCCTCCTGAGTATCTGAGACTACAGGCGCATACCATCACGCACGGCTAATTTCTGTATTTTTAGTAGAGATAGGGTTTCACCATCTTGTCCAGGCTGGTCTGGAACTCCTGATCTCGTGATCCACTCGCCTCAGTCCCCCAAAGTGCCGGGATTACAGGCATGAGGCACCACACCCGGCCCCTCAGTTTATTTTTTAAAAGAGTCAAAGGAGCCTGCCACATTGGCCAGGCTCTAATTTGAGAATAGCCAGGAGGGACTAAGCTGATCCTTAAAGATGAAGAACTTGCGAGAACAACAGGAGGAACAGCATTCCAGGCAGAAGGAACTGCCTGGGCAAAGGCCTAGAGCCTTCAAAGAGCCCTAGAGTTGTCTTGGGGCCTCTGACAGGTTAATGTGTCTGGAGCAGTGGCTAAGAGTACAGAGCTCAGTCCCCTTAAGGACTCTCAAGTCAGCAAAGTGTAACTTCTCTCCTCACCACGTCTTTTCTGGGAAGACATATAGGCAGGAAGAATCAGACTCTGCACAATTTTAGCCAAGTGCAAGCCCAGGTGCAGTGGCTCAGGTCTGTAATCCCAGCACTTTGGGAGGCCAAGGCCAGCAGATCACTTGAGGTCAGGAGTTCGAGACCAGCCTGGCCAACATGGTGAAACTCCATCTCTACTAAAAATACAAAAAATTAGCTGGGCGTAGTGGTGGGCACCTGTAATCCTGGCTACTCGGGAGGCTGAGGCAGGAGAATCACTTGAACCTGGGAGGCAGAGGTTGCAGTGAGCCGAGATGGGGCCACTGCACTCTAACCTGGGCGACAGAAAGAGACTCTGTCTCAAAAAAAAAAAAAAAAAAAGTGGCCGGGCGCGGTGGCTCACGCCTGTAATCCCAGCACTTT